TGGTTATGCAAAGTATAGCAACATATAAGGGTCACTATCATTGTCACTGTCCTCCCGTTGTTCATTGATTTGATCAAGCGGGCCCAGTAACATCTCCATTTGAGACTTTGTTGTTACTGTATTTCGCATATCGAATACATCACAGGTAGCTTGCCAGGCTCTGCCGTGTGGACGAGATACTCTTGGTAGCTTTCCAGGCTCTCCGAGAGGGGCAGAGGAATCGAACTCAGGTCGGCCATGTTGGCTGCGTGCAGGGCAAATGCCCTATCACTGTGCTATCGCTCCAGCCCAACATATAAGGGTATATATATATATATATATATATATATATATATATATATATATAACTTTACATAGATATGTAAGTATAGCAATATATAAGGCTGGTGGAAATTATTTATACACATTTTAATCTTGATATTATAATCAGTGTAGTGCTACATCAATTACTTCAGCCTACACAATCTTTAATGACCCAAAAAAGCAATGTTTCCCATATAGTATGTTACAATTATTATTTAATAGAGGAACTTTGCACTTGTTGGATTTGAGGATTACTCCTGATTCCAGAACTTAATAGCTTTACTTATTTTCCTGAGTATCTCAATCTCTTCTTCCTTTCTTCCTTCGTTCCTTCTCATCTTCTTCCTTCTCCTACTCTGTCTCAATTCTACCTCTTACATACATTCTTTCCTCCAGTCATCTCTTCTTTTTTAGTTGGGAAACAAATTAAAAAAAACTGTTACAAATTGACCACAATATTTCTTTTTTCAAAATTATTTTTATTCAGGCATCATGATTTACATCATTGTTAATAATAGAATTTCTGGTAAAACTATATGTTAATTCCATACCTATCCCTACTATCAGTATCCTTCCAACAAAGTTTCCTCCTATACTCTTATCCCAATTGTCAGATAAGCTTTAAGTTTTTTGTTTTTGTTTTTTGGGGCAGACCCTCAAATGTCAGGGGTTATTCCTGGTTCAGCTCTCAGGAGTTACTCCTGGAATTGCTTGGGAGACCATATAGGATGCTGGAGAACAGCCATGTGCAATACAAGCACCTTACTCTCTATACTGTCTCTCCACCTTAAACTTTAAAATTTTTTGAGGGACAAGAGATAAAGAACAATAGCTAGGGTACATGTCTTGTAAGCAGCTGACCTGAATTCGAAGCCCAGCATCTTATATGAATCCCTGAGGCTCTCCTTGAGTGGTCTCTAAACTCAGACCCAGTAATCCCTGAACATCAATAAGTATGACCCTAAAAAAAAGAAATAAAAATTTTTGACTATTATTCCTTCGGTAATGTGCTTACCCAAGTCTCCACATGCATGAAGGTACCGGCAGAGGAACAAAAGCATTTGGGTCCCAGGGATGAGATCTTCAAGGCTGCTCGGATCGGGGATGAGCATCCTCCACCCAGATCCTCCATCTTACAGTAGGCAGGGGTCACACCCACAAACTGACCCCCTGGCGCCATGTAATCCCAACAACAGCCAAGACCCAAAGACTAAAAAATCCAGCTACTGGCTGCATTTGCGGCCATGTGATATCTTATTATTTCTTTCCTACTTTGGACAACCTGGTAGGCTATCGAATGTAACCTGCCCAGATGGCAGAGTCTGGCAAACTACCCGTGGTGTACCCAATATGCCAAATACCAATAACAATGATGGGTCTCATTCTCCTAACCCTGAAAGAGCTTTGAATATGGGACGTTAAAATCTCAGGGCTCATTCAAACAGGTACTTCCTGGCGCCCAGGGCCAGGGACTCTTTCTGGGCATGCACAGCTAGCTTTATCCCCTAGAACAGCCGGTTTTCCCCCTTGATCTGTGCGGGACGGGAACCGAGGCACAACTCATGGAAACAAAGCTGAATGGCTCTGGGCACTCTCTCCTCATTCAAACAGGTACCGCCAGGCGCCCAGCGCCAGGGACCCTTTCTGGAGCCGTGGCCAAGTTAGTGGCCGCGAATTATTCTCCCAATACATATCCCATAGGAACCATAAGTTAACCTCTTAGTTGGAATCTTCTCTAGGTTAGCTCAACCACTAGAAACACATGAGCCAAAAATTCATTAAGCCTATCTCAATTCATTCTGCATATCAAGCAGAATAGCAACAGTGAATGTGAAGGTCTAAACCACACTGGTCACAATGGTAAAGCAACGCAAAAGCCCACCAAACTTTCTTATTGAAGAGGCTAGCCCAGAAGACACCAATAGTACTGTAGTGTTAGACAACCTCCCTCACAAGGAATTCAGAAGGGAGCTATTTAGGATGCTTAGGGAGCTAAAAGAAACAATAGAAAGCAATACCAATAAAAGACAAGTGGATTTGATGGCAGAAATGAGGAAAATGCAAACGGAAATGTCAGACCTGAAAAATATGGTAGGCAAATTGAAAAACTCAGTGGAAGGCCGCAGCAGCAGAATAACAGCTGCTGAGAACAGAATCAGTGAGCTTGAAGATGAAGTACAGAGACTCTCCAGAAAAGAGCAGAAAATGGAAAAGAGACTCAAAATTTGGGAACAGATGGCAAGAGAAGATCGTGATGAAGCCAAGATGGGTAACACAAGAATTATTGGAGTCCCAGAGGGACAGGAAGAAAATTGTAGTGAAGAAACTGTCAAAGACATCATTGTTACAACGTTTCCAGAGCTGAAGAAAACTTGTAATCACATTCAGGAGGCCCGAAGGGTAACAGCTAGAAGAAATCCGAATAAAATACCCCAAGACACATTCTGATCAAAATGACCAAAACCTAAGATAGAGACAAAATTCTGAAAGCAACAAGATCAAAGAAAGAAATTTCCTACAAAGTAGCATCCTTAAAATTCACAGCTGATTTGTCTGATGAAACCCTCATGGCCCGAAAAGAGTGGTGGAATACAGTGAAAAGACTAAATGAAATAAATGCCTCACCAAAATACTTTATCCTGCGAGACTCTCATTCAGAACAGAAGGAACAACACACAGTTTCACAGACAAACAACAGCTCAGGAACTTCATAGACTCAAAACCATGGTTACAAGAACAACTAAATGGGCTACTTTAAGACAAGACAGGCCCCTCAAATACACCAAATTTCAACAGAACAATGGGACAAAATCCCATAATAATAATCTCTCTCAATGTCAATGGGCTAAACACACCAATTAAAAGACAAAGAGTGGTAGGATGGATTAGAAAATTGAACCCAACATTCTGCTGCCTGCAAGAAAAACATCTCAATAGTCAAAGCAAACAGAGGCTCAGAGTCAAAGGCTGGAAAACAATCTTACAGGCAAACAGCTCACATAAAAAAGCTGAGGTAGCCATCCTAATATCAGACCACATTGATTTCAGGCGATTTTTTTTTTGTGGCTGTCTCTCTTGGCGTTCCACGCACATTCATGGAGGTGCTGAACCAGTCGATCGTATTCCTCATCAATGTTGTCAACAATGGCATCTTCCCATGTTGCCGCAATAGTACCAAAGAGTTCCCAGTTGGTGGTCATTCTGGGAGTTCTCTTTTTGAACTTTGCAGCCCTTTCTCCCCGCTCTGTGAAGTAGAATTTTGCACGAAGGAGACGGTGGTCCGATCCCGTTCGAAATTTTGGGACAACAGCGACATCAGTCAGGCAAAACCGTCGATTGAATATGATGTGGTCTATTTCATTGTGCAATCGTCCACCGGGAGATTCCCATGTCCATCGTTTAGATTCTGCCTTCTGGAACTGTGAGTTACCATGAATGGTCTTGGTTGACATGATGAACTCAGACAGTCTATCACCCTGTTCGTTCCATTATAGGCCATGGGTCCCGATGTGAAGTTCTTTAGCTGATCTTCTTGGTCCTATCTTGGCATTAAAATCACCCATAATGACCTTGTAGAAGGTGTGGTCTTCTTTATAGAACTTCTCTAGCTCCATGTAGAACTTCTCGATTTCTCTTTCATCATAATGAGATGTTGGTGCGTAGACAACGAAGATAGAAACTGCAGGCAGTGAGCCACATCTATTCAAATGTAAACGTCTGATTCGGGTTGTTAGGCATTCAAATGAATCAATGCTCTTGGCCAAGTTTGTATTGACAAGGACACCGATGCCTCCAACACCTCTTTTATCGCATGTTCCGAGGAACAATTCTTCTCCAGTGTCAAAAACGGCATGGTGAGATTCGTGCCTTCTTGTCTCGGTCAGAACAATGATGTCGTACTTGATCATTCGCGCTTGTACCATCAGGTCCTCGATGGATGCATCTGATGCTAGCGTACGTGCATTGAAAGTACAGACGATCATTTTTGTCTTCCTTCGTTGTGGCAGCCTAGGTCGGCCTTGGGATTTTGTCAGCCTCTCCTTTCTCATCCTTCTCAGTGCTGCCATGTCGGTGAAGCCGTCAGGGTCAGGTGAATGAGACCAGTTGTAGTTACTGGTTTTGGCATATCGAATACACAGCGGATAGCTTGCCAGGCTCTTCCGTGCGGGCGGAAAACTCTCGGTAGCTTGCCAGTCTTTCCGAGAGGGATAGAGGCTTTTGGGGCGACCTCTAATCACCCTTGTAGATGTTACCATATTTGAACCCTATCAAATATGGTACGACAATTCTGGAAGATGGGTATTTAGTGTCTTATGATGTGTCTGGAAAGCATCCTGGAGTGTGGTGACGGCTGGGTAGTGGAAGTAGTGTCGAGAGTGGAAGTCTGCCAGTGGGGTATTTATCTGGGTAGGGTGGGTCTCCTGTGCACAATTCGATCCCTGGGTGGTTGATGGAAGCAGACAGGGCAAGGTAGGGTGGGGCTCCTGATTAGAATCCCTTTGTCACCTGTGGTTGTGGGAGCAAGCAGAGAAGCTCTGTCCCTGGGTCCGCCGAGCCTGGAGTCCAAGGACTCAGAGAGTTCCACTTATCTTGTTCTGTGGGTCTTCAGTCGTGCGTGGGTCTCAGCTGGAGCTGCCACGCGGGTCCGGAAAGCGTCCTGGAGTGTGGTGACGGCTGGGTAGTGGAAGTAGTGTCCACTACTTAAGTAGTTTCTTTAAAGCTTTATCCAGGTATTCCTCAATCCACTTCAGTTTGGGATCGATGCACACTTGTCTGTTGTTGCTCTTCAGCTTTGCCACAATCTGAAGGGCGCAGTTGGGAGTGCTGAGGATTTTGAGATGTCTGACATTGGCTCTGGCCACGTGGCACTCGAAGAATCGGCAGGGACATCTGTAGCTCAAGCTGACAGGTTTTCCGTCACTGAGACAGAGCGCAGCCAGCACGAGGGCCAGCACGGCGACGACCTTGGCATCCATGGCACGGGCGGGCATTGGGGCTGCACCGAGGCCAGGGGCACAGGGGACGTGGCGGTGGAGAGTGAAAGGGCCTATCTTCGAAAACTCTTGAGCTAATTCACCAGCGTGTTTTGGCGCATGCCTCAGGCAACCGCAAGCTAACGTCCGAGCTCGCAAAGCAGTGCAGAGATGCGATCAAGGAAGACCTCAAAGAGAGAAGAGCAGAAGTACTGGTAGATGCGGCAGAAGCCGGGAAAAGTATTCATAACTCCCGCCTGTCCTTGGCCAACTATAAGACCAAGATAACTGCCCTCCGACGTCCTGATGGATCCATCACATCCTCCAGAACGGCAATGGAGAAGATTATCCATGACTTCTACTCAAATCTCTTTGATAGCCATGTCCACTTGCCGACATACCAAATTCCACAGGATGGATATGTCGTTCCCAACGTTCTCCGTTCCGAAATCCGACACGCCATTTTGTCGGTAAAGAAACAAACAGCACCCGGCCCAGACAAGGTCAGACCTGAACACCTGAAGAACCTGCCATCAGTACTCATCAATACACTGGCTCGGCTCTTCACTCGCTACCTGTCTGAATGCAAGGTTCCGTCCCAATGGAAAACCAGCAGGACCGTACTACTGTTCAAGAAGGGAGACATCCATGACATTGGCAACTATCGCCTGATCTGCCTATTGTCTGTCATCTACAAGTTGTTCACTAGAGTCATCCTAAATAGGATTGGGAGAACACTAGATGAAGGACAACCATGCGAGCAAGCTGGGTTCCGCAAAGGATTCAGCACCATCGACAATATCCACACAATAACCAGACTCATTGAGGTTTCTCGGGAGTTCAAGATGCCGCTCTGTTTAGCATTCATTGATTTAAAGAAGGCCTTTGATTCTGTTGAGACGGAAGCGGTCATTGAAGCCCTAGCCAATCAGGGCATTCAAGCCCAATACATCAGGATCCTCCGTGCGCTGTATTGCGGATTCACTACCAGGATCTCACCATTCTACAAAGAAGTGATCTTTGATGTCAAGAGAGGGGTGCGGCAGGGTGATACCATTTCACCGAAACTCTTCAGTGCCACCCTCGAGAACATCATGCGACGACTGGAATGGGAAGGAATGGGAGTGAAGATAGATGGTCGGCAACTACACCACCTCTGCTTTGCTGATGACATTGTTTTAATAACGCCAAACATCAGCCAAACGGCACAAATGCTGGCCGACTTTGACCGTGAGTGTGGAAAGGTAGGACTACAGCTGAATCTTAAGAAGACAATGTTTATGAGAAACAGCCTTGTTCCTGACGCCCCATTCGCTCTCAATGGAACGACCATCTCCGAATGCAACAGCTATGTGTACCTAGGTCGAGAGGTCAACATGACAAATGACCTGGCACCCGAGCTGCACAGGAGGAAGAGAGCGGCTTGGAACGCCTTCGAGAACGTCGAAGAAATAGCTAAGAGGACGAAGAACCTCCGGCTCCGGGCACATCTCTTTGATTCCACTGTTCTTCTTGCATTAACATATGCCTCAGAGACCTGGGCCCTATGCAAACAAGATGAGAACGCTATTCAGGTCTCCCAAAGAAGAATAGAAAGAGCTATGCTTGGAATATCACGTTTCACTCAAATGAGAGAAAGAATCCGGAGTTCTGACATCCGTCGACGATCAAGGATCAGGGACGCTGTTTCATTTGCCAAGGTGTCGAAATTCAGATGGGCTGGTCACGTAATGAGATTTAAAGACAACCGTTGGACTAGAGCTGTTACTGACTGGATTCCACAGGATGTCAAAAGACCGCGTGGCCGCCCACCTACCAGATGGTCAGACTTCTTCATCAAGATCATGAATGATCGGTTTGAGGCCCTTCATGTTCCTGGAGCGAAGAGATGCCATTGGGCTACACTAGCATGCGACAGGGACAAATGGAGACGTTCCTGGCGCCCGCTCTAGCAAATCGACGACTAATGGGAAGTTAAGTGATCAAGTGATTAAGTGATTGATTTCAGAGTGAAGAAGGTTACAAGAGACAGTGAAGGTCATTTCTTATTGATCAAAGGATCTTTACAACAGGAAGAACTTATAATACTAAATGTATATGCACCTAATGAGGGACCAACAAAGTACTCAAAACAACTAGTCATAGATTTGGAAAAGGACATCAATAGCAACACAATACTAGCAGGAGACTTCAACACCGTTTTATTACGTCTTGATAGATCAACCAGACTCAAGTTTAGCAAGGACATACTTCATCTGAGGGAAACAATGGAAGAAAGGGACTTAGTAGATATATACAGGACACTTCGTCCTCAAAAAGCTGAATATACATTCTTCTTAAGCGTACATGGAACATTCTCCAAGATAGACCACATGCCGAGCCACAAAACATACCTGCATAAAATTAAGAAGATAGAGATTGTATCAACGATCTTCTCAGAGCACAATGCGCTGAAATGAGAAGTAAATCACACACAAAAACAGAAAACTTAAATCAAACACCTGGAAATTAAACAGTGTACTATTGAAAAACGAGTGGCTTAGAAAGGAAATCAAAGAAGAAATCAAAAGATTCCTAGAAACGAATGAAAATGAGGACACGAGTTACCAAAACTTTTGGGACGTAACAAAAGCTGTGTTAAGAGGAAAGTTTATAGCTCTACAAGCATTCCTCAGAAAGGAGGAGCGAGCCCACATAAATAAACCAACCTCACAGCGTAAGGGCTTGGAGAAGGACTTACAAAAGGAGCATAACCCGAACAGGAGAGAGGAAATAATAAAACTCAGAGCAGAGACTAACGAGATGGAAACCCAAAAAGCAATCTGAAAGATCAATGAAACCAAGAGCTGGTTCTTCGAGAAAATTAACAAGATCAATAACCCTCCAGAAAAACTCACAAAGAAAGGGAGAGAGAAAACCCTAATAAACCGAATCAGAAATGAAAAGGGGATCATTACAACAGAAACTACAAAAATTCAAAGGATCCTCAGGGAGTACTTTGAGAAGCTTCATGCCACGGAACATTAAAACCTCGAGGAAATGGATAAATTCCTAGACTCCTACAGACTGCCAAGGCTCAACCAAGAAGACCTGGAATACCTGAACAGACCTATCACCATCAAGGAAATTGAAATGGTAATAAAAATTCTCCCCAAGAACAAAAGTCCCGGCCGGGATGGATTCACTAGTGGGTTCTTCCAAATCTTTAAAGAGGATTTACTCCCAATCCTCTTTAAGCTTTTCCACGAAATTGAAATATCAAAAACACTTCTCAAGAGTTTCTACGAAGCAAATATCACAATGATACCAAAAGCAGACAGAGATACCACAAAGAAAGAGAATTACAGGCAAATATCCCTGATGAACACAGATGCAAATATCCTCAACAAACTACTAGCAAATAGAATCCAACTACTCTAGAAAAGATCATACACCATGACCAAGTAGGATTCATCCCAGGGATGAAGGATGGTTTAACATTCGGAAATCAATCAACATAATCCATCATATCAACAAAAGAAAAGATATAAAGCATATGATCATATCAATAGATGCAGAGAAAGCATTTGACAAGATTCAGTACCCATTTATGATGAAAACCCTAGCCAAAATGGGTTTAGAGGGGACTTTCCTCAACATAGTTAAAACCATCTACCACAAGCCTACAGCACGCATCATCCTCAATGGGGAAAAACTGAGAGCCTTCCCTCTAAGATCAGGGAAAAGACAAGGATGCCCACTCTCTCCACTGCTGTTTAATATAGTACTGGAAGCACTTGCAATAGCGATTAGGCAAGAAAAAATATTAAGGGCATTCAGGTAGGAAAGGAAGAAATCAAGCTCTCACTCCTATTCGCAGATGATATGATACTATACTTAGAGAACCCTATAACCACCACGAAGGAACACTTAGAAACCATAGACTTTTATAGTAAAGTTGCAGGCTATAAAATCGATACCCAAAAGTCCATGGTTTTCTGATATGCTAACAGTGAGAGAGAAGAAATCGACATGAAAAAAAAATCCCATTCACTTTTGTGCCCCAGGAAGTCAAGTACCTAGGAATCAGCTTAACTAAGGAAGTGAAGGACCTGTACAAAAAAACCTTCAAAACGCTACTTCAGGAAATTAAAGAGGACATGAGAAAATGGAAAGATATCCCCTGCTCATGGGTAGGGAGAGTTAACATTGTCAAAATGGCAATACTACCTAAAGCACTGTACAAATTCAATTCAATCCCTATAAGGATACCCATGACATTCTTCAAAGAAATGGAGCAAACACTCCTGAATTTCATATGGGACAATAAGCCCCCACAAATAGGTAAAGCAATTCTTGGGAAAAAGAAAATGGGAGCGATAGCACAGCGGTAGGGCGTTTGCCTTGCACGCAGCCAATATGGCCGACCCGAGTTTGATTCCTCCGCCCCTCTCGGAGAGCCCGGCAAGCTACCGAGAGTATCTTGCCCGCACGGCAGAGCCTGGAAAGCTCCCCGTGACATATTCAATATGCCAAACACAGTAACAACAAAATCTCCAATGGAGACGTTCCTGGGCCCACTCGAGGAAATCGATGATCAACGGGAGGGCCTTTACTTTACTTTACTTTTACAACCTCCCTAACTTCAAACTCTACTACAAAGCAGTAATAATTAAAACAGCATGGTAGTGGAACAGAGGCAGAGCTGCAGACTAACGGGGCAGGGTTGAATACACTGACATCTCCTCTCAATCATATGATCATCTAATCTTTGATAAAGGTGCACGAAATGTGAAGTGCAACAAGGAAAGTCTCTTTAACAAATTGTGCTGCCAAAAGTGGACGGCTACATGAAAAAAATGGGCTCAGAACTCTGCCTGACACCATGTACAAATGTAAGATCAAAATGGATTAAAGACTTCAACATCAGACCGGAAACCATAAGGTACATTGAAGACAAATTTGGCAAAAGCCTCCATGACATTGAAGCTAATGGTATCTTCAAAGATGTCACCCCACTGGCCGAGCAAGTGAAAACAGAGATAGATAAATGGGACTATCTTAAACTAAGATGCTTCTGCACCTCAAAAGAAACAGTGACCAAAATACAAAGAAAGTCTACAGAATGGAAAAGGATATTCACCGAATACACATCTGACAAGGGGTTGATATCAACGATATATGAAGTACTGATCGAACTCCACAAGAAGAAAACATCCAACCCCATAAAAAATGGGGCAATGAAATGAACAGCAACTTTCTCAAAGAATAAATCCGAATGGCAAAAAATCACATGAGAAAATGCTCTACATCATTAATAATCAGGGAGATGCAGATCAAAACCACAATGAGATACCATCTCACACCTCAGAGACTGGCCATATCCAAAAGAACCAAAGCAACCGATGCTGGCACAGATGTCGGGAGAAAGGGACACTCCTTCCCTGTTGGTGGTAATGTCCACTGGTTCAGCCCTTTTGGAAACAGTATGGACGATTCTCAAAAAATTAGAAATTGAGCTCCCATTTGACCCAGCAATACCACTCCTGGGAATATATCCCAGAGAGGCAAAAATGTATAGTCGAAGTGACATCTGCACTTGTTTGTTCATTGCAGCACTCTTTACAATAGCCAGAATCTGGAAAAATCCTTAGTGCCCAAGAACAGATGACTGGTTAAAGAAACTTTGGTATGTCTACACAATGGAGTACTATGAAGCTGTTAGAAAAGATGAAGTCATGAAATTTACATACAAGTGTTACTACATGGAAAGTATCATGCTAAGTGAAATGAGTCAGAAAGAGAGGGACAGACATAGAAAGATTGCATTCATCTGGGGAACAAAAAGTAACTAAATAGGAAACTAACACCCAAGAATAGCTGAGATAAGTACCAGGGGTTTTACTCCATGGCTTGGAGACCAGCTGCACACACTAGGGGAAAAGGCAACTCAGACAGGGGAGGGAGCACCAAATAAAGGGTGTTTTGAGTATCCTCCCAGGATTGCAGATGCATGCTGAAAGTAGACTATAGACTGAACATCATTGCCACTCGATGCCTCTTTTGCAGATCACAACACCCAAAAGGAGAGAGAAAACAAAATGGAATTTCCTGCCACAGAGGCAGGGTGGAATGGTGGGGAATGGGTGTGGGAGGGATGCTGGGATCCATGGTGGTGGAAAATGGGCACTGGTGGAGGCATAGGTATTTGATCATTGTATAATTGAAACCCAAGCACAAAAATTTGTAAGTCTACAACTGTACCTCATGGTGTTTCACTAATAAAAATATAAAAAAATTCTCAGGGCTAGGACGAATGAGACGTTACTGGTGCCTGCTCGAGGCAATCGACGAACAACAGAATGATCGTGAACATGATCGTGAATGTGTTTACAGTAGCAAATTCTTATAGTTTTGATGCCTACTGTCTAATTTCTTAATCAGATATTGAGATATTTGAATTATATTTGAATCATCTGCTTATAGTGATACCTTGAATTCTAGTAATATCACATATGCAATCTATTGCTATGTGAGACAGAAAAAATGAACCATAACTTCATCCTCACTGGGCATGAACAGAGAAAAGAATACCTTGACAAGGGGCTGCAAAATTTTATAGTGGTAAAGACATGTCCTCTGATTTATGTGTGTTCACTTCATTAGTGACAGACAGCCAAAAATAGTAAAGTTAACACAGAGATGCTTATCTAGATCTCAGGTTAAGCATATATTTCTTTCCTTAAAAACAATACTCTATTTGTCTCATTTTCACTATTATTGACATAATCCAAATTTATGGCCATTTCTCCACACTTAGGAGGAAGATAATATAAAATATTGTCAGTGACTCAGTTTCTTCATTTTTAAGATGAATTAAATAACATCTACCTCTTAAAGTTGTTGTCACATGGAAAGAGAAAAATGTGTAATTGATACTTAGGATAGGTTGAACAAAGGAGAACAGGGACAAGTCAGGAAATTTAACAAAAAACAAACCTACACAAAGGTTTCAAATTATACCATTACAATACAGAGGAAGGGCAAGTTAAAGAGAAGTAAAGAAGTAGATAAGGATATGAACTCATCTTGCAAGTTTTTATTTCTGTTCAATTGGCATAAACTGGGAATTTCAGATTATAATCTGCAATAAATGATCACTCTCTTTACATTATCAAATGTTTACTCATTTCCCAGAGCTACACATAACTGCTTACTCTCCCTGTTCACTAACTCAAATTATCTAACACATGTCCAAAACTTTTTTTCCAAAGATAGTTAAAGAAAGCAAACCAAACACGAATTGTTCACAGAGAACTATTATTATTTTGTTTTGGTATTTCCATTTCTTCCTCTGTTTTCCAGTCAAACAAGCCTGTAATTCTCACAGACTTAGAACTCTTGAGTTTGGTGAGGAGCAAAAGGTCAAAAAGGAAACTAATCATGCCATTTCTTAACTTAGGGAAACATGAAACTTCTCTTAAGCTTTGTTGCATTATTAAGCGTTTCAGAGCACAATACCTACCCCAAGTGAATTTAAGAACAATCACAACACAATAGGTGTCTAAAAGTGCCCAAGACTTTGTGAGCATGCATTTTATTATCAGTCTCTGAATTCAACATAAAACTCCCTCTTTCAAGGAAGATCCACCTTCTCTATTTTCACACATTTCAATAAGTTAAACGCAGAGGTTTTAGTCTCCTTGGGAAAGTGTCCTTTATTTAATCTAATTTAGTTCAATACCTCTTTTTTCCAATTTTTATTCTCTTCTCACTCTTCCGGGGGGACTGTTAAAACAAACGTTACAACAGATCTCGCGGTGCTGTTCGAGATTCACCATTTAAAACAAAACAAAACAACACAATTTAGAAATGATGCAAAAGACCTCGTGTCTTCCGGGTTTGAGTTAGGGAGTGCTGTGCCCTGAGCCCAGTGAAAGCAGCCAAGAGAGGAGGCGGGGCTCCGGCGACTTCCCCTTCCACCTTCCCCCACCTTTCTCTTCCAATCTCCGTTTGGCCCTAGCTGTATTCAGCCGTTACCGCAGCAGCTTCCCAGCCATTTGCAGGATCTACACAACCACAGTCGCTGTTCTCAGGATGGTGATCTATGTGTATATTGCATCTTCCTCTGGTTCTACAGCGGTAAGGAGGGTGGTGAATCCACCTTTACTGATTTCTTACACACCAGTCTCCCACTGTTCCAGAAACTTTACGTGGCAGAAATTAAGTCTGGCAGCTTCTTCTTCAGGAGACACTTGCATCTTCCACCCCACCCCCTTCTTTTCTTTGTGGAATGGAGATTTAGTTTCCCCTGAAGTTTAGCTTTTCCTTGTTATGTTAGAAACACATTATTTCTTTGACAAAAATAATAAATAAAGTTAACAATTTTTGGTAGATGAGAGATGGTAATGAAGGTTTCATAGGGCTTCATGAAGTCTAGTAAAATCACACTCTGGTGTTTCTATAGCCAGGCATTTGACATATGTATTTTAGGTACTGAGACAAGGGACAGGAGTGCACATTCTTGAAGGGTGAGGGTGCTAACATGCTCTTAAAAATGTTCCTCGACCTTTTTTTGACATGCTTCTAACCTTGTTTCTTCCTGTGGGTCCTTTGTCCTACCGACTGACACTCTAGTTTCACTCCGTTTTTTTTTTTTATTTTCATCTGTGGGCCTTGGATTATCAAAGGGACCCACATGGGATCATTTGGTCCCTGGTTGAGAAATATCTAAGCAGAGATGATTTAGTGAAGATAAATCGAGGCACTTTGATTATTTCGAGAGTGAGACCCGTGTTATCCTGTCATTATTTTGAGAGTGTCTTGGAAGGTGTTAAATTTTAACTTACAGGTCTCTTATAACTAGACAGAATAGGAGGAAAAGTGGGGATTATGATGATAAGACGTGTGTGTGTCCTCAGTGAGACAAAAGACTGTGTGTGTATGAGCTCAATGAAACAAAGGACCTGTGTTTTCCCGTTATTGCCTCTTTTTTTCTTTCAAAATATTTTACTTCCAACAATTCTTGTATTGATTCGAATATATTGAGACTGGAAAAGAAACTAACAAGTGATTTGTTGTGTTAGCAGTAGCAGACTAGTTGCTGCTTCTTCAAATGATAGGATATTTTGTTTCCTGTATTCATATTTAAAAAAATTTAGAATAATAAGGTTTTCAGCAGCTGTGGGTAGCATTATAATAAAATGGAATGAAAGCTGAGGGGATATCTAGGATAAATCAAGTGACTATTTTTCACACCTCAAGAGAAAAACCAACATCTGACAAGAGCAGATGTGTGGGTTTAGAATGTAGGAACACCCTGTTCTTCTGAACTTTAGAGCAGAAGCTAGTTCATAATTTGTTGTTATAGTGTTTTTGTTTTATTTATTTACCTCTTAAGAGTGTTTGAAATAGAACTGAAGGTAATGTGAAATCATAAGAACCTTGAACTTTACCTTCTCTGGCCACCACAGGTGGGTATGTTTTGACTATTTAGAAACAGAACATATAACCTTAAACTTTTTTTTGTTTAGATTGAAAGTGTCTTCATTTTCTTTTGAGCTCACTTCATGAGCTACTTCCCTTATTATCCATATCTAATATTTTTAGTTTTTAAGACTAACATCTGAATTGCTCAGAGTCTCAAGACCAGTAGAACAATGGTAAAATATTAAAGATCACTTTAATATCTTTAGTGAAACCCCTAATCAGATTTAACAGATCAGGAAGCTATATTTATTTTAAGTGTTATGCAGTTTCATTATAGTTATTTATTCTTTGTTTGCTTGTTTTCATTAAGAAGAAATACCTCTCATAATTTCTGCTCAAGTGAGAGTTAAGAGGTATTTGCCACTCCACGTTAAGACTTCAGTTTCTAAAAACATTAAAAATGACAGTCTAGTTTTCTGTTATGTCAATTATTAAACATATTGTTGAGTACTAAGTAAATAGGAAATGTTTTTCCTACTGGTGTTTTGTTTCAAAATATTATGAGGAGAGATTTGTCTGTTGATACAGTAATTACAGATCTAATAAACTTATTGTCAAAATTCTTCATATTACCAACATAAATCCTTGTTTTATTATTGTTTTACAAATTGCTTTCAATTAATACTAAATAAATACAAAGTGAGTAAATTTCAAAAAAAGCTCTTCTATAACATAAATTGGAACTCTTCAGAGTGCATCACTAAGGTTTTTTAATATTGCTGTCATATTTTCAGAACACAATTTAGAAATTTTGGAACAAATATTGAAATTCTATAATTGTGATAATTGTGCAAAGCGAGATACTACTGTAATTGTTGTTCTTTAAGGTATAATTAAAGAAAACTTTTGGTTTGCTACTGGTAATTTCTGACTGTTATTTTACTCCTGCTAATGTTTGTCACAATAATCACTCTTACGGGCTAGAGAGGTAGCTCAACAAGCTGGAGTAGGTGCTTTGCCTGTAGTGGTTCTGGGTTCAGTTCCCAACACCACATGGTCTCCTAACTATTCCCAGCACTAAACTGGGAATAGCCTCTGAGGATTGCTAGATGTGGGTCCACCCAAATCATTGTTAGAGTTTTTTGTTTGTTTTTTGTTTCTGGAGATACACTCATTTCTGCTTTTGCACTCAGGGATCACTCCTGTGGTCCTTCAGGGGCATCATATGTGGTGCCAGGGATTTGAACTAAGGTCAGCCATATGACAACATTAAGTGGTTTAATCCTTATGCTCTCTTTTTACCCCGATATTAGATGTTTTATCAGATAAGGGAGGGTCTATATAAATGAAAGTTAGTGTTAACTTATTTTGTCCTTATCTCAAAGCTCCTTTTCCCTCATAACCTGATTTAAAAATAAAACTCACTTATTCTCAAATAAAGGAGTAGCATTTGCATCTAAAAATCTTAGATATCAAAGTGAGTATGTTGGTTTTTGCAGTTGATTTATTGAGAGTAGCCATATACTGACAATAGCCATATAATGGTAGCACTTAAGTGTGTCAAGTATTATCTCATTTATTTAACCATTTCGTCCAATCAAGTAGTGTAATCATATCTATTTTTGAGATAGGGAAATATAGGTTTAGGGAATTGAAACAACTTTTTAAGGTCACACAACTAGCAGATCATGGACTTGAATACAACATACGGTGATTAAATAGAATATGTGTTTAATAACCACAAAGTCTTTCCAGTTAGGGGGTCATGAAGAAATAAATATGAACATGAGGTAAATGGTGATTATTGTAAGTAGATTAAATTCTATAAGTGGAAGGATAGACTATATATTTACTTATCAGAAAACAAAAAAAAATAAGGAACTGACATAGACGGGTGATAATACATCTATAGATGTTTGTCAGAAAGTAGGGTAGCTTGCATTCAAGGTCAGGGATATAGAATATTGGAATTGATATTTTATCAGTCAAGTTATGAAATATCGGGTCCTAATACTTTTTAATACAGTTTTTGAGTGTTCTCAAGTAATCCTCAGAAGACCCAGGGATGGTTTTTGCGATCACTAGACAGCATAGGCAGATGGTTCGATGGCAGGAGGTGATGTGATAGCTCTTTGGCCCTACAGTGCTCATGATGGGGGTGGAGGAGGCAAAAGGGATACTCCGTTGGTTCTTAGGGATCACTTGGTGATTTTCAGGGCTGTCCTGGTATTGCTTATGCGGAATGAAGTGTCAGGGATTCCACTTGGGGCCTTAGGCATGCATGAAAGGCATTAACTCTAACCCCTTGATTTATTTCCTGGTCCTGTTTCTTTTCATGAAAACCGTTTTGTAGGAATTCAGCTCTTAGGTTGCCTGTCTAAGGGAAATGTTTCGCTTTAGAGTTTAAGACGTGCAGGTGAAATTTATACTTAGAAGATACGTCCTTCCAAGCCTATGGGATATGTCTTAGATATATCCTCAATAGTGAGCATTTGTAACCATCCTTAGAAGTGGATTTTAAAAAAAATTTTGTTAAAGAGCCTTGATTTATAATGGATGACAAGTCACAAGTGACAAGAGATTTACAAAGTTACTGATAGTTGCTTTTTAGACATACAATAATTCGACACCGATCCATCCACCATTGTCAACCTCCATACACCAGTATTCCCAGATTCCCTCCCCATTCCAATCTCCACTCCAGCCCTGCTTGTCAACTTGACAGGCACATTACAAAGTTTCAGTGGTTGCTGTTTAAATCTCATGTTTTCAGTTCTTTTGAATCTGTGTTTTGGGTATAAGGTTATACCCCTCACTCATATATAACTGAAGCCCTGATGCCTGTTAACTCATTGCTTCTTGTTATCTTTAAGGGAAGTGATTTTTACCTGTTAAGAATGGTTCATGCATGTCTTAGTCCCCTGTAACACAATTTTATATGTCATGTTTTTCTCCCAACACTAATATTCTATGTATTTGCATTTGCAAAAGGAAGAGGAAGCAGAGCCTATATAACTTAATACATTTGACTAACTTTAATAAAATCAGTACTGCTCTTTGATCAGAATTACTGAGTGATGACATGTTGGAGACTTCTAACTGGTTTGGGAGTGTTCTTTCTATATTTCTTTCTCTTCACCGAGCCGGGTTCGATTCCTCTGCCCCTATCAGAGAGCCCGGCAAGCTACCGAGAGTATATCACCCACATGGCAAAGCCTGGCCAGCTACCCGTGACGTATCCGATATGCCAAACATAGTAACAACAAGTCTCACTATGGAGATGTTACTGGGCCCACTCGAGCAAATCAATGAACAACGGGAGGACAGTGCTACAGTGCTACAGATACATAATAATCTCAATTTTATGGTCTTTCTGCATTCAAAGTGTACTAGACTCTAAACTATGGTTGATAAATGGTTTTTGAGGGCTTAATTAATGGGAAATATTTTCTAAAACAACATTTTTGTGAATGATCAAACAAATTAGTTGTAGTATGGACTGTCTATATATTAAATGAAATAGAGTAGTCTCTCCTACTGTATTCACATTTCATTTTCACTGGTTTCAATTGAGTCCAAAACGTAGTGTTCAATAATATTTTGAAAGAGACATACCTCATTTTTATCTTTAGAAGTTTTATTATCATTCTATTTTGTCATTTATTGCTATCTTTTTTACTATCTTTTTTATAAATTAAATAAATTAAATAGGA